GGAAGGGGATATGGCGTGGCGGGAAGGGGATATGGCGTGGGGGGGAAGGGGATATGGCGTGGCGGGAAGGGGTATGGCGTGGCGGGCTGGAAGGGGATATGGCGTGGCGGGAAGGGGATATGGCGTGGCGGAAGGGGATATGGCGTGGCGGGAAGGGGATATGGCGTGGCGGGAAGGGATATGGCGTGGCTGGAAGGGATATGGCGTGGCGGGAAGGGGATGGCGTGGCGGGAGGGAAGGGGATATGGCGTGGCGGGAAGGGGATATGGCGTGGCGGGAGGGGAAGGGGATATGGCGTGGCGGGAAGGGGATATGGCGTGGCGGGAAGGGGATATGGCGTGGCGGGAAGGGATATGGCGTGGCGGGAAGGGGACATGGCGTGGCGGGAAGGGGATATGGCGTGGCGGGAAGGGGATATGGCGTGGCGGGAAGGGGATATGGCGTGGCGGGAAGGGGATATGGCGTGGCGGGAAGGGGATATGGCGTGGCGGGAAGGGGATATGGCGTGGCGGGAAGGGGATATGGCGTGGCTGGAAGGGGATATGGCGTGGCGGGAAGGGGATATGGCGTGGCGGTGGTCGCGGCGGGCCCGCGAGAGGAGGCGTGGGGCCCGTCCGATGAACCGAGCCAGTATGGAGGCATTTTCGCAGCCACGAATGGGTATAAATTAGAAACGAACGAGGCAGTGTGGGTCGGTGAGGGGAGACTACTTCGGACGTCGAATGGCAGAGGGCGAGGGCGGAGTCGTCCGAACGACTTCGGATGTCGTCCGGCGGAGGGCGAACGGCGGACTGCGAACGCGAAAGGGAGGGTACGCGAGCGGCGAGCGGGAAGCAGCGGCTCTCCGCGCGGGACGAACGGGGGACGGCGAGCTGGAGTGGGAGGACGGGATGGGATGGCAGATGCTGGCGCGTCGAGGCTAAACGAGACTATGTGGGGAGGGGAGGCGCTGTCGCTAATGGCCTCGCGGTGATGGCAGCGAGAGGAGGCGTGGCGATTTGTCCGCGCGTGCGCGCAAACAGCGTTACGCAGTTCAAAAACAGATTCTAACCCTAAATCTAGCTGTTCGGTTCATATGTTGTCTAGTCTACGCAAAATAACCTACCGCCGTGTGAGAGCGTGTGCTATCGACTAAACTGAAGTTTTAGTATCCTTTGTGATTCCTAAGGTTTTGAACTGTGAGTGCGGGGAGCTGGACGTGGGGCGTTTGGGGGCTCACTTCGCCTGTCAATCGGGGGGTTGGGGCTGTAATCATGTAACCAGTTTTTCAAGTTCCTAAGGTTTTTTTAAACCCAACTTTCAAAAGTATACTGTTGCTTTAAAAAGAACATTGATGTATTTGCACTTGACTTTGATGTTATTCTTGGAGCCATGTATGCATTGACTATTAGTGTTGAGGGTGACTGTTACTTGTGTGTGCCACCAGACCCAGGCATTGCGACCAGTGAGGCTGCCGCTCTAGGTGCTAGTGCGTCCGCTGCCCCAGGTCCTGGTGAGACAACTGCTCTAGGTGCAGGTGTGTCTGCTGCCCCAGGTGCTTGTGAGACTGCGCCTTCAGGTACAGCGTCTACTGCGGCACTGCACACCTTCACCCTGGACTCAGGTGCTTCCCGCTGTTTCTTTCGCGACCGCACTGCCCTCGAGCAGCTTCCTAGACCGGTTGCTGTCTCCCTGGCTGACCCCTCCGGGGGTCCGGTTCTTGCGACCTCCTCCACTGTCCTCCCGTGTCCTGCGGTCCCGTCTGGCACCCTGTCAGGTCTTTACCTCCCCTCGTTCTCTACGAACTTGGTGGCGGGCTCTGCTCTACAGGACGGGGGTGTTCACCAGTTCACCCCTGCCTATGAGCGTGTGACCCACTGTACGTGTGCCCGGACGGGTCGCCACCTTGCTACCTTCACTAGGGAGCCGGGGTCGGACTTGTACACACTGACCACTGAGTCCCCTCAGGTCGCTGCGTCTGCGTCTGCGTCAGGTCAGCTGTCGGCCCCCTGCTTGTGTCGCTCCCTGTCCCACCAGACTGTCCTCTGGCACCACCGCCTTGGTCACCCGTCAGTGCAGCGCCTTCGCGGCATGCACCGTCGCCTCCTTGTCTCTGGTCTTCCCCGGGTTCTCCCTCCCCTCCCACCCTCGCCTGCGCCTCCCTGTCTTCCCTGTGTCGAGGGGCGGCAGCGCGCCGCTCCTCACTCCTCCGAGTTTCCCCCGACAGAGGCTCCTCTGCAGACACTCCACATGGACGTGTGGGGCCCCGCCCGCGTCCGTGGACAGGGCGGGGAGCGCTACTTTCTGCTGGTAGTTGACGACTACACGCGTTACACCACGGTCTTCCCCTTGCGCACCAAGGGTGAGGTCCCTGATGTCTTGATCCCTTGGATCCGCACTACCCGTCTCCAGCTGGAGAGGCGCTTTCGCTCGGACCTTCCAGTCCTGCGACTGCACTCTGATAGAGGTGGTGAGTTTTCCTCCGACCTCTTGAGAGCCTTCTGTCAGGGGGAGGGCATTGAGCAGACGTTCACGCTTCCGGCCTCTCCGCAGCAGAATGAGGTTGCTGAGCGCCGCATTGGCCTGGTCATGGAGGTCGCTCGTACCTCCTTGGTCCATGCGGCTGCCCCCCACTTTCTGTGGCCGTTTGCGGTACGGTACGCCGCGCATCAGCTCAACCTCTGGCCCCGTGTCTCTGACCCGGACACCTCGCCGACACTGCGTTGGACGGGAGAGGTTGGCGATGCGTCGGTGTTTCGAGTCTGGGGATCTCGTGCCTTTGTCCGCGATGCGTCCGCGGACAAGCTCTCCTCCCGTACCCTCCCCTGTGTCTTCCTTGGCTTTGTCCCTGACGCGTCTGGCTGGCAGTTTTACCACCCTGCCTCGCGCCGTGTCTTCCCTTCTCAGGACGTCACGTTTGACGAGTCGGTCCCCTTCTACCGTCTCTTCCCCTACCGCACTGCCCCGCTCCCCCCTCCGCCGCTCTTCCTCACTCCAGGTGCTGCTGTGGTAGACCCCCTGCCTCCCCAGGGTCCTGCAACCTCAGGTGTTTCCCAGGTAGACCCGGTCGAGCCTGTCGAGGTAGCTGTCGACTCTGGTCCTGCGCGAGGTACTGAGCCTGAGCGTGCCGAGCCTGGTGGTGCTGGGTCTGGTGGTACCGAGACTGGGGGTGCTGAGCCTGGGGGTGTGGAGACTGGGGGTGCTGAGCCTGGGGGTGCTGCCGCTGGGGGTGCTGGGCCTGAGGGTGCTGACACTGGGGGTGCTGCGCCTGGGGGTGCTGACACTGGGGGTACTGAGCCTGGGGGTGCTGTGCCTGGGGTTACTGAGCCTGGGGGTGCTGCGCCTAGAGGCACTCTTTCTTCCTTGGAGCTGCGTGAGTGGTACTCTCGGTACTGCCGCCGCCACAGTGGTACTGTGGGAGCTGGGAGTACTGTTGACACTGGAGCTGAGGGCGCTGGAGCTCCTGGTGCTGGTGTGGCTGCCGACCCTGGGGTTGGCGCTGGAGGTGCTGGAGCTGCTGGGCCTGGAGGTGCTGCTGGAGCTACTGGAGGAGCGAGTGCTGCTGGAGCTGGAGGTGCAGGTGCTGACGGTGCTGCTAGAGCTGGTGCTGAGTCTGGGGGTGTTGCTGCTGGGGACACTTCGACAGGAGACCCTGGGACTACAGGTGCCGGCTCTGGGGGTGCTCCTGCTAGTGACGCTGGTCCTGGAGGTGCTGGAGCTGCTGGAGGTGGTGGAGCTGCTGGTGCTGGGGGCACTGCGCAGCCACGACTGTTCTTTGCTCCGCCGTCTCCATCGTCTCTGCCACCGCCTGACGCTGCTCTTCGTCAGGTTCTTACCCTCCCGTCGTCTACTGGTCTTCCGTTACAGCCTGGCTCACCACTGCCTGCCCCTTCTCCTTACACTGAGCAGACAGGTGGTCTTGCTGAGCGTCGTGAGCCTGCGTCTCGTCCTGCGTCGCCCGTTCGCACTGCTCGCACTAGTCCTCGTGTCCCACGTCCGCGTCCTCCTCCTGTCCCTGGCACGCACCAGATGACACTTCGTCCGTCCACTGCTCCACTGCGTGTTCCACTGCCGTCCCCCCCTGCGTCTTCTCTGCCTGACGTTCCAGACCCTGAGTCTGACCGTGTACGTGCTGCTCACCCTACTGTCACGCGTCTCCTGGCCACTGTTGTCACTGACCCTTCCTTTGAGTCCGCTGCTGCGTCTGCCTTAGTTGCTGAGCTTGTCGACTTTGCTGCTCACTGTCGTCTAGACTACGCCGCGAGTCTAGTTGCTGAGTCTGAGTCTGTCTGTCCTCCGTCCGTCGGGGGTGAGTGTGCTCTTGGCACGGACGTCCTTGAGGACAGGCAGGAGGAGTTTGAGTGCTTTGCCGCTGCTGTACCTCATCTCGTGTCCATGCTGATTGCACCTGAGGGAGACCCGGATGCACCAGACATCCCGACCCCGCGCTCTTACGCTGAGGCGATCGCGGGTGAGTACTCCTCTCAGTGGCAGACAGCCATGGACGCAGAGATGGCATCCTGGAAGTCCACTGGCACTTACGTCGACGAGGTTCCCCCTCCTGGGGCGAACATCGTCAGTGGCATGTGGATTTTCAGGGTGAAGCGGCCGCCAGGTTCTCCGCCTGTCTTCAAGGCTCGTTACGTTGCTCGAGGCTTCAGTCAGCGAGAGGGAGTTGACTTCTTCCAGACCTTCTCCCCCACCCCGAAGATGACCACTCTTCGGGTGCTGCTGCACGTTGCCGCTCACCGTGACTACGAGCTTCACTCTCTTGACTTCAGCACAGCTTTCTTGCAGGGCAGCCTGCACGAGGAGATCTGGCTGCGCCGCCCCCTGGGTTTCACTGGGTCGTTCCCTCCTGGTACCCAGTGGAGCCTCCGGCGGCCAGTCTACGGTCTCCGCCAGGCGCCACGAGAGTGGCACGACACACTGAGGACTACACTTGCGGCACTTGGGTTTGCTCCCTCCACAGCTGACCCGTCGCTGTTTCTGCGCACCGACACTTCACTGCCGCCGTTCTACATCCTCGTGTACGTCGACGACTTGGTGTTTGCCACTGCGGACACTGAGGCTCTCGCCCACGTGAAGTCGGAGCTGCAGAAGAGACACACGTGCACAGACTTGGGTGAGCTGCGCAGCTACCTTGGCTTGCAGATCACCCGGGACAGAGCACGCCGCACCATCACCCTGACTCAGTCACACATGGTGCAGCAGGTCCTTCAGCGCTTCGGCTTCACCTGGTCCTCAGCACAGGCCACTCCTCTGGCTACAGGTCATTCGCTCTCAGCTCCACCTTCGGACGAGTCCGTAGAGCCGAGTGGTCCTTACCCAGAGCTAGTTGGCTGCCTCATGTACCTGATGACTTGCACTCGTCCTGACCTCGCGTACCCTCTTGGTCTTCTGGCTCGCTACGTGGCTCCTGGTCGGCACCGACCTGAGCACATGGCTGCTGCTAAGAGGGTACTGCGCTACTTGTGCAGCACATCAGGCATGGGGCTAGTGCTTGGAGGGACGAGCCCAGTTGTTCTCACTGGGCACTCAGACGCTTCTTGGGTTGACGACCAGGCTACTCAGCGGTCGTCACAGGGTTACACCTTCAGCCTTGGCTCTGGTTCAGTTTCGTGGCGTTCTACACGCTCGTCTTCAGTTCTCAGCTCCAGTTGTGAGGCTGAGATCTACGTCACAGCCATGGCTGCACAGGAGTTGCGCTGGCTCACCTACCTGCTGACTGACTTGGGAGAGCAGCCTCGTTCTCCTCCAGTGCTGTACGTCGACAACAAGGCCGCCATTGCCTTGTGTGAGGAGCACAGACTGGAGCACAGAACAAAGCACATCGCTCTGCGTTACTTCCTGGCTCGAGAGCTGCAGCAGCGTGGTCAGCTTCGTCTGCGTCACGTGGCCACTCGGGCCAACACTGCTGATATATTCACTAAGGCGCTTCCGTCTGGTGATCATCAGCGTTTCTGCACTTTGCTAGGGCTTGTGCCCACATTTCCTCACTTGCTGTAGGCCTTGCTTGTACTGTGATCTATATATATATATATATATACGTGCATGTTTGCATTGCTAGGTAGAGATCACTGTGCTGTTCTTGCTGCTTATATACCTCTGCATGTGGACTGGCCTTGTGGCCGTTTGTTTGTGCTCAGTGTGTGTGGTGACGTTGTGATCCACCCTGAGCCGTGTTTTGTTTCTTCTCTTGACTGGTCTTGTGACCATTGCTTGCTCTGGCTATCCCCCATTTCGCCTATGGGGGTGTGTCAAAACATATGCATGTTAGTATCTAGGCTATATTGGGGCTAGCCTTAAGGGGTACAGAAACTCACTCGACACTCTAGTCTTGTACCCCAACCTCCACCTAATCACACATACTCTTCTCATTCTAACACCCCCTGCTGTCGAAGCCACCGCCGGAAGCGACCGCCGAGACACCCCCACGTCTCCACTATCAAAGGGGTGAACTGCACGCCTCGGTTCCGTGCAAGAAGAGGCGCGTAATCCCCCGTTTTGCGACGCTCCCACTCCTTTGCCGCCACGCCTATAGACCGCCCGCACTGCCCTAGCAGAGATGGAGACAGTGATAGCGGGTCCGCGACACTAATCTCTAAAGCATGAGCCTCCCCAGCCATTGGTCGTCGCACCGCTACGTCAACCCGCTTCCCCGGCAGCACCGCACTATCCTCCATCGTCACCACCCCCCCTGACGCCTTAGCGATCTTTGCCACCGCAAACTTCACCTCATCATGCACCCGAGATGGACCGTGTTGGTGCTTGCATCTCAGCGCATGATGCGGGTCTGCTGGGTCATCATACGCTGTGCCACAAACACACCTCCCCGCCACTTGCAGCTGCTGGATTGGGAGACCAAGCCGTATAGCAGCAGCAATGCCCCACTCCGCTGCAGTGAATGTGAGATCTGAATGAGCCGGAACTGCCGAAACCCATGCACCAGCCCCCGGGCCCTGAAGGGATGTGAAACGGGCCAGGGTGGCATCGTCACGAGCCAAGCGGCGGAGTGCCTGGAGCTCCTCAACAGCCAACTGCCGCTGCCGCGCCTGGAAAAGCCGAAGAGGAGGGGCCGCCACACACAGGGGTAAGTCCGGCAGCTCCTGGCGTATAGTCGCGGGCAACTGCTCAATGGCCTTGGCAAACCACGGGTCAAGAAGCTCCGCCCCCGCCGAAGTGGTGAGGTACTCTGCGAACATCGCCTCCTCGCCCGCCACCCCCAAATGTGCAATATCCCGTGCGGCCTGCGCCCACCCACAAACATAGGAGAGCGGACTCAAAGAGGCCGCCGCCCGGATCCCAAACCCTCCGAGGCGCACAGGGAGATGCAGCTGCATGCGTGCGCGCCTAGACCTGCCGGGGTCCTGCTCCCAAGTGCCAGGGGGGAAAAGCTGCTCAAAGCAATCCTCCAGACAGCTGTCCCACTCTCTAAAGGCCTCCACCACCTCCGGCCGCGGCGGCATAGTCCGGGCCAGGTACATCGGCCGTGCTGAAACTGCAATAGATTCACTACACTGTGGCCACACATCTCTCGATTATATCCTACAGTGTAGAGCCATTTTAAAAATTTCGAACTTTAAAGTGTTCGAAAAAAAATATCGCACGCTTAGTTCTTTGTCTCAGGCCGAGTCTTTTTTTTAACAATTAGCCCAGACCATACTGCAAGCATTGCACAGCCGTCACTAAATTTCGCTACTTTATGTGACCTCACATCATATCGTGCCGTACTTTTGGAGATAGCGGTTGTAATATTGATCTTGCAGCCACGATCTCGTTTTCCAGCAAACAGTCACCACCATTGCGTCGATGTGTTTCCAGAAAACACATTGCGGGGCTATTCTTCGACAATATCAAGTACAAGTGGGGTTAACCTTATTGCGGCATCGTTAACCAGCACTTTTGCCCCTCTCAGCTCTTTCCTCCAGCCACCACAATTCCTGAACGGGAGCGCAAGGGAGTGTGGAAGAAGGGGAGTGCGAGGTTGGGGAGTGCGAGGCTGGAAGGGTTTAGAGAACATAAAAGTTTGTGGGAGATAACAGAAAAGGGGTTCTACATGGTACGATGGATGCTCAAGAGTGAGCAAGGTTCAAAAAGTCATTTGTGGGAGAGGACAAAAAAGGAGTTCTACATGGCTTGGTAGATGCTTAAGAGTAAGAAAGGTTGAATGATACCGTATGAGAGGTATGGCACAGCAGTGAGCATGCATACATTCTATGGCACTGCGTACTATAAACCACACCGCGTTGCACTGTGCACTAGTCGCGCACATTCACCCACCCATGCAACATCCACCCACGCCTTCATCCCCCAACCGCTCCCAAACAACTCCCTGTGACTCCCAAATCCCCACCACACCACACCACCCACCGTCCCGGGGGTCGTCCGTGAGATCATTAAACGTCCACCAGCACCAACACCAACACCAGCACCAACACCAACACCAACACCAGCACCAACACCAACACCAGCACCGAACCAGCACCAACACCAACACCAGCACCAACACCAACACCAAAACCAACACCAACACCAGCACCAACACCAACACCAGCACCAACACCAGCACCAGCACCAACACCAACACCAGCACCAGCACCAACACCAACACCAAAACCAACACCAACACCAGCACCAACACCAACACCAGCACCAACACCAACACCAGCGCCAACACCCAACACCAACACCAGCACCAGCACCAGCACCAGCACCAGCACCAGCACCAGCACCAGCACCAGCACCAGCACCAGCACCAGCACCAGCACCAGCACCAGCACCAGCACCAGCACCAGCACCAGCACCAGCACCAGCACCAGCACCAGCACCAACACCAGCACCAACACCAACACCAGCACCAACACCAGCACCAACACCAACACCAGCACCAGCACCAACACCAACACCAACACCAACACCAACACCAACACCAACACCAACACCAACACCAACACCAACACCAACACCAACACCAACACCAACACCAACACCAACACCAACACCAACACCAACACCAACACCAACACCAACACCAACACCAACACCAACACCAACACCAACACCAACACCAACACCAACACCAACACCAACACCAACACCAACACCAACACCAACACCAACACCAACACCAACACCAACACCAACACCAACACCAACACCAACACCAACACCAACACCAACACCAACACCAACACCAACACCAACACCAACACCAACACCAACACCAACACCAGCACCAACACCAACACCAGCACCAACACCAGCACCAGCACCAGCACCAACACCAGCACCAACACCAGCACCAGCTCCAACACCAGCACCAGCACCAACACCAACACCAACACCAACACCAACACCAACACCAACACCAACACCAACACCAACACCAACACCAACACCAGCACCAACACCAGCACCAACACTAACACCAGCACCAACACCAGAACCAGCACCAGAACCAGCACCAGCACCTCACTGTCCGCCTCCAATCGCCCTTCCACGCCCACCCAACCCCCTGCCAATCCCCACCACGCCACACCACACCCCACTCACCGTCCCGGGGATCGTCCGTGAGATCATTAAACGTCTCAAGAGCAGTTCGCGCAAGCTGCTTGAGCTGGTAGTCCACCAGCACCAGCACCTCACTGTCCGCCTCCACTCGCCCCTGCACGCCCACCCCTGCAGCCACCACGCGCATCTCCCGCTCCCACTCAGAGCCCTGTGCCCACATCTCAGCGAAGTACTCCTCCTTATAGAGCTTGTAGACGGCCAGCAGCGGGTCAAAGAAGTGCGGGTCGCGCTCGTTGGTTGCGATGTAGAGCGTGCTTCCGGGGGGGATGCGCTTCGGGAGCTTCTGCAGGAGGCTGGAGGGTGAAACAGGGGGTGGCATGGGGGAGGGAGGGGTGGCATGGCGGAGGGGTTGACATGGGGGAGGGGACGGGGTAGCATGGGGGAGGGGAGGGGGCGGCATGGGGGAGGGGACCGTCACCATCACTACCACGATTCACACCATCCATGGATAGAGGCAGAGGCGTGTAGGGCAGGAAACTCACGCCTTGGGCCTTGTGTCGTGGTCGAGGTGGGGCCACAGCTGCGGGTTGACCTTGTCCCCGCGCCGCACGTGCACAAAGTCAAACTGCTGCGGACCGCCCATGGCGTTGGCCATGGTTTGCGCAATCTTGACGTGCGGGTCGATGGGACGGAGGAAGTCCGGGTCTGGTGTCACCACGTCCTGCCAGGTGCGGGGATGCAGATGCGGGGATGCAGGTGCGGGGATGCAGGTGCGGGGATGCAGGTGCGGGGATGCAGGTGCGGGGATGCAGGTGGGGGAACACAGGTGCATGTGAGCGTGTGTGGGAACGAAGGGAGAACCCATTGGGACGGGTGAGAGGGGAGAGGGAAGAGGGAAGAGGGGGAACTGTGTTGATGCGATCTTGACGTGCGGGTCGATTGCGAGGAGAAAGTCCGGGTCTGGTGTCACCACGTCCTGATTGTGCGGCGAATACAGGTGTGGGAACGAAAGGGAGAACCCATTGGGACGGGTGAGAGGGGAGAGGGGATGCGGGTGCGGGGATGCAGTTGCGGGGATGCGGGTGGGAGGATGAAGGTGGGGGAATGCGGGTGCGGGAATGCAGGTGCGGGGATCACAGGTGTACGTGAGCGTGTGTGGGAACGAAAGGGGAAACCCATTGGGACGGGTGAGAGGGAGCGGGGAGAGGGGAGAGGGGAGAGGGGAGAGGGGAGAGGGAAGAAGAATGCGTGTGTTGCAAGTGACACACCTGGTTGGTCTTCTTGTAGTGCACCATGAAGCCGAACTGCTCCTTGTCTGGTACGCAGATGCATTCCACCCCGTGCATCTTGAGCGCAGCGCAGCACAGCGCGGCACAGCGCAGCGCAGCACACACAAAACCCCAAACTGCGCACCTCGTTGGTCTTCTTGTAGCACACCATGAACCCGAACTGCTGCTCCTGTGGCACGCGCACCACCAGGAAGGCGTCCCTGTGCTTGGCGAGCGTGCCCGTGCGCGGCCCCATGTCGAAATAGTGCAACGGCACCGTGTGCCACGGGCCAAACCGCGCCTCGAAGTGCTCCAGCAGCATCACTGGCTGCCGGCTGGGGAGGGGAGGGGAGGGGAGGGGAGGGGAGGGGGGGATACGTGCCATAGAAGTAGTGTTATGAGACGTCTCAAAACGCAGTGTGCCACGGGCCAAACCGCGCCTCAAAGTGCTCCAGCAGCATCACTGGCTGCCGGCTGGGGAGGGGGAGGACGGCGGGAGGACGGCGGGAGGACGGCGGGAGGACGGCGGGAGGACGGCGGGAGGACGGCGGGAGGACGGCGGGAGGACGGGGGGAGGAAAGTGGGGACGGGAGAAGACAAAGAGGAGGAATTTCAGATTCCCGTTCAGGACATTTACGCTGCACCTTGCCGCGCCGCACCCGACCCCACCTCTCAATCCGTCACCTCATCATGTGCGTGAGGTGCAAGGACATCGCGAAAAAGGATTTGCGAAAAACCTTCCGAGAAGTAACAAAAAAAAGAGTCGCGGAAACAATACCTTCGCCTCGGAGCTTTCAAGTTAAGGGCGAAAGCATCGGAAAGTTGGGTTGCGTGAAAGCAACTTTTCCGATACAACTTTCCGAATGCATTTCCTACACAAAACGTACACCTTTGGTGCAACCCCACGGAACCTTACGTATAACATTTCAGTCACTTCAATGTGACTTACGGCCCCTACTAGTACAGCCCCGCGTGCTTGTGCTCCATGCAACCCGCTCTTACGAGTCGACAAAAAAATTCACCCCACCCCACCGCCGCATTTACCACGCCCCACTGACACCACCCCTCCGCGCCACCTCATCATGTGCGTGAGGTTATTGTACAGCCCCACGTGCTTGTGCTCGATTACTAAGACAGCCCACCCCACTGCATTCCACGGTCCACCGCACCCAACCACGCCCCAACGCACCCGACCGAACTCAGCCGCACCCAACCGCAGTCCACCGCACCGGACCGCACCTCATCATGTGCGTGAGATTGTAGTACAGCCCCACGTGCTTGTGCTCCATGAGTCCGCTCTTGGAGTGCGTCTGCGACAGGCATCGATCCGTCACCAGCACCAGCGTGCGTCGCAGCGCCTTCGCCTCGGCCGCCACGCACTTGAGCGTCCACGACCAGTGCGACTGCCCCACGCACCGGTCCCACGTGGGCGACCATACTAGATAGTACCGCTCGCCGCGCGCCGCTGCGCGTTTAATCTCGCTTCGGTACGCCGCCTGCTGCTGCGGCGACAGCTGCGGCTGCTGCGCTTCCCCCTGGCTGCCTTTGTTTGATTCGTCGGAAGGTACTAGTGCTACTTCGCCGAGCTTCTCCTCCTGCTGAAGTTCAACTTGAGCAAGTTGCTCCCCCGCCGCGTGCTCGCGCGGCAATTCATTCCCTGCGCATTCTCCGCGCCACCTTGCCCCCTTCCGCCTTCCATTTCCGGCGTCATCCAGGCGGCGGCATCACCGGCGCTGGGTCCCGCCTTCCGCCACTCGCGCTCCGGGGACGTCGCCCACCACGCCGCATCGCCCAGGCGCGGCGGCGAGCCGCTCTGCGCAGGCGACGTGAGAAACGGCGTCATAAAAAGCGCCGCGACGGCCGCGAGGAGCATGAGAGCGACGAGGCGGTGCCCTCCGGGCGGTATCGGCGACAGCCATGATGGGGACAAAGGCGGGTCCCACGCGGGCGCGGATTTACTACTGACTATAGTATCACTACTAGTATGTTGGCCTTTAGTTTGGGCCTTAGTGCGGGTGGTAGGGCCCTCGTGGGCGGCGGCGCAAGAATCAAACATCATGATAGGGAACGTGGCGTCGACTAGGCAGTCGCGCTTGGGAGAGCGATTTAAATCCAGCGAGTGGTCTGCCGCGGATAAAACCATGATGGTTGCAATTCGCGTCACTGGACCGTCACGTCAAGTCACATCCAATTCCGCAAGCCGAGTCGCGCAATCAAGGCTTGATTACTGAATCTACTCGCGTCGCGCAGCCTTGCTTAGTGCTAGAGTTCTAACGACCACACGTACTAGTGGTGTGCAAACTGCAGAAAGTTTTCAAGATCCACAATTGCTGAATTGTGGTTCTCAAGGGATGATGCTGTTTTGCCAACGCTTCCTTTGCCCTGAATCGTGATTCTCGGGCAGCTGTCCGCACCCGCCCGGTAACTCGGTTGACGGGTACTTTCGGGCAGATGACGGGCCGTCGGGATTACATTCCGGCCCGACTAATTGTCGCTGTGAATGCCCATTCATCACGTGCTCCATCCCAGACCAAGAAGCTGTGGTGCCCAGGGATTGCCGCGAAGGCAAGATACCTCTTGTTTCTACTCAACAACACACCAGATGCAACCGCCGCGAGACAAGATGGCATTTACGACGAATCCGGGCCGAGGTGGGGGGGCCACCCACAGGGAAGAACGTCTTCGTCCCTGTGGACGTTTTCGTCGGAATGCGTAATACCTGTGAGGCTCACAGGGGCGCGAGCTCTACACGTAACGCATCTCGCGAAGAGATCATCTTGAGAAGTTGAGGACGCTGAGAACGTCTTCCGAAGACGTAAAAACTTCGGGAGTTTTCGTTTAAAATACGTAACCTCGTGGGGAGGGAACGCGAATGAAAAGTTCCGCGTCACTTGAGGAGGATGCATCGGGAAAAATAATCCCGACACGAGTGATCTAGAATAGTACCCTCCCACTGCAATCAGTTGGTCTCGTAACGACAGCGGGAAAGGCAATGTTGTTTTTGGCTGTGTTTTGTTCTCCTCGCTGGCAGACCTCCCTTCCCACACTCCGCGTCAATTCCATACGGAACTGGAAGTGGGGGGTGTCAGATGGGAGAATTCTATGATCTGCTAGTGCTTTTCCCCACGCTGGGTGTTTGCCCGTGTATGCGCCTGTCATCGCTCGATGTTGTGTTTACGACGTGTTGCGACCCACCCGGGTCGGGTCGACCATCCCCCGATCCCGAATTTCTAGGAAGCCCGCACTGCCGACCTACCCGACCAGGTCGACCCGACCCAACCCAACCTGGGTTGGGTCGAACCGGGTCAACCCGGGTCGACCAGGTCGTGTCAACCAGGCCGACCAGACCCAACCCAACCGAGCTGGAGCAGGTTACCCGAGCCAACGAAATTCGTAGTTCTCGTGCGGATGTCGCTTGCATCTCGTTTAACAAAAAAATACCGGTAATATCGCCAAACATTGCCTCGCCCACCTTCCACCTGCGGAGCACTTGCTTTCTCTTTACTTCGAATTTGCAAAGAAGGCAAGGGGAAATTGTTTGTTTTCTCGAGTCGCCTTTCGTTTGGGTTGGGTCGGGTCGGGTCTACCCGACCTGGTCGACCCGACCCGACCCGGGTGGGTCGCAACACGTCGTTAGCGGGCGGGCCTAGATGTTCGATGAATGAGTCCCGTATTTTCACGTACGCTTTTCACGTACCATATGCATACCGACCGACCAGACCACAGACACCTTCAACGATTCGCCTGCCTCCATCCATCCTGGGCACGGCTCCCACTGCCCGCACCACGCCGCGTGACCCCTCCACCCGAGCAACCTTCCTCGCAAACGTACACCACACCCCACAACAAGAGCCCTTGCTCAATTCGTTTCGGCACTGGGCATGGGAAAGTCAAGATGGTCCACCCTGTTTCGCCCAGCCACGACAATTGACAACGGTTTATGAAGGAAAATTGCTACGAGGTAGCTTGGGTGCCGCAAATTTTGCCTGTATGGAGTGTGCTAGTTTGAAACGGCCAATTCTGAATGAATAACAGGTTAGACAGGGTAAAATGCCCTGAAAGCCAGAGGCTTCACAATCCCCGTGGGCAGCTGTTCGTGCTCGTGTACAGACTGCCAAGTGGCAAGCAGAAGAAAACTCACGATTGCCATTTGTACGGGCAAAGATCAAACTGGGGCCGAACATTAGCAGAACAGTGACCAAATAAGGGCCGGGTTAATCCCGACCGTTGGAAATATAACACCGAAGCTGCCTAGGTGGCTGGGCCTTGGTTCCGAATCGAACATTACAGGAAATTAAAAAAGGTTGACTTTTTTTGTTCATTTCTTTGTTTTATATTAAGATCGCCGCCTATTACGGAAGCTCGCGTCGAATTCCTCTGGGGGTGCTTTCGTCTTGTATATAAAATATTAAAATATTAGTAAATGATTGTTTTCCGAAAATTTTACATCACTTTACCTGATTAAAAAAATACCCCAATCGGAAATGGTTGCGACTCGGAGACGCATCAACCCTGAACTCCAGGGGGGTTTCCGTGTTTAGGGTTGATCCCTCCCGAAAATGCATCCAGGCTCCCTATGGGTTTTAGTCTTTCTGCCCTGTCCTAACGGTTCCCGTTTACGTCGTCCAGTGCTTGGTAGCGCAAAATACTGAGTTATTTCGACAAGTCGTAAAATTTACTCCTTCAGTTACGACGCGCGGTGCGGTGAGAATCTCTGACAAGTGAAATCACATACGCAAGCATGGAGAAGTCTGTTGTTAGCTCGAAAAAAATCAGGTTCGGCTATCCGGCCCTAATTTGGACACTTCTCTTGAACAGACTGTTCATGCCACGTGTACAGCCATAGCCTTCAAGAAATCTGACGAACAAGCAGATGCCTACAGTCAATACTGTACGATCGAGCGGGTTGATTAGGGCGCGTGTCTTTTGGTGTAGAGGTTCGTCAGATTATGTTATTTGTCTAGCCTGCAGTGGGGTGCTCAATAGTGAGTACAACCCCTTAGGGTTTCCTATATGTATCCTGCTGCTTGCTAGTTCCGATCATTCTCCATTCATTCCATTCTCAATTCTCCTTCGTATACCCCAAACCCTAGTCCTAGGGCACATCCTACTACCTCTTAGTGTGGGCCTAGGCTACTAAGCCTAGGCCCCACTCCTAGTATTCCTGACATGGTATCAGAGCGAGCACGTTCCTGCCGCTTACCTCTATGGGCCCACCACCTGCTTCCGCTGCCGTACTGTCCGCCGCGCGCCCCGTGGTGCGCGGCGGCGAAACCCTACTTTTTTTTTTTCATCCCGCCGCGCCCTCGAAGCGTGCGGCGGTTTTCTGCCCGCCGTGCGCCCCGAGGCGCGCGGCGGCTTTCTGCCCCGTCACTCCGCGAGTCGCCCCCGGGAGGAGCTGCGACGGGCGACAGGGACCCGCGCGTCGCCCCCCCGTCGCCCGTCGTGGACCGCGCGACCTCCGTAGGGCCCGCGCGCGGCCCGTCCAGCCTGCGCGCGGCCCGTACGGGCTGCGCCAGGCCCGCGCGCGGCCCGTACGGACTGCGCCAGGCCAGGGCGCACCTCGAGCCGCCCGCCACTGCAGCAGCAGCCCCTGGAGCCGCCCGCAACTGCAGCAGCAGCCCCTGGAGCCGCCAGCACCTGCAGCAGCAGCCCCTGGAGCCGCCAGCACCTGCAGCAGCAGCCCCTGGAGCCGCCCGCAACTGCTGCAGCAGCCCCTGGAGCCGCCAGCAACTGCAGCAGCAGCCCCTGGAGCCGCCCGCAACTGCTGCAGCAGCCCCTGGAGCAGCCAGCTCTTGCAGCAGCCGCCCCTGGAGCCGCCCGCCACTGCAGCAGCCGCCCCTGGAGCCGCCCGCCACTGCAGCAGCCGCCCCTGGAGTCGCCCGCCACTGCAGCAGCCGCCCCTGGAGCCGCCCGCCACTGCAGCAGCCGCCCCTGGAGTCGCCCGCCTCTGCAGCAGCCGCCTCTGGAGCAGCCGCCACTGGAGCCGCCGCCCCTGGTGCAGCCGCCCCTGCAGCAGCCGCCCCTGGAGCAGCCGCCCCTGCAGCAGCCGCCCCTGGCCCCTGGAGCAGCCGCCACTGCTGCAGCTGCCCCTGGACCCGAGCAGCCGCCCCTGCAGCAGCCGCCCCTGGCCCCTGGAGCAGCCGCCTCTGGACATCGCTCTGCTGCTGCCCTGCGCTCTACCCTACCTGCTCCGCGCTGTTGCTCTGCACGCGCGGTTGCCCGCGCCCTCGTGCGCTCTACCCTACCTGCTCCGCGCTGTTGCTCTGCACGCGCGGTTGCCCGCGCCCTCGTGCGCTCTACCCTACCTGCTCCGCGCTGTTGCTCTGCACGCGCGGTTGCCCGCGCCCTCGTGCGCTCTACCCTACCTGCTCCGCGCTGTTGCTCTGCACGCGCGGTTGCCCGCGCCCTCGTGCGCTCTACCCTACCTGCTCCGCGCTGTTGCTCTGCACGCGCGGTTGCCCGCGCCCTCGTGCGCTCTACCCTACCTGCTCCGCGCTGTTGCTCTGCACGCGCGGTTGCCCGCGCCCTCGTGCGCTCTACCCTACCTGCTCCGCGCTGTTGCTCTGCACGCGCGGTTGCCCGCGCCCTCGTGCGCTCTACCCTACCTGCTCCGCGCTGTTGCTCTGCACGCGCGGTTGCCCGCGCCCTCGTGCGCTCTACCCTACCTGCTCCGCGCTGTTGCTCTGCACGCGCGGTTGCCCGCGCCCTCGTGCGCTCTACCCTACCTGCTCCGCGCTGTTGCTCTGCACGCGCGGTTGCCCGCGCCCTCGTGCGCTCTACCCTACCTGCTCCGCGCTGTTGCTCCGCACGCGCGGTTGCCTGCGCCCTCGTGCGCTCTCCCGCCCCGCCCTCCCCCTCCCCCCCCCCCCCCCCCCCTGCGTCCCCTGGACAGGAGGGTGTGGGGGTGGCGGGTGTG